ATTGATGCGAAGGAAGCCTTGAGAACAGTAAAACAATGTCTTTATATGGTATTATTTGTGTGGTATAAAATCTAGCAAGGCAGTACGAGGACAGATAACAAGGCAGAAAAGCAGATTACAGTGTATCGAAACAAATAATAACGACTAATTGGCCTGGGCACATGAATACTTATTTGTAGCCCATTATATTGCTCATGAAGGCGTGTGGACAGGCCCCCACAGCCTATCTGTGTAGAGAGCACAGTGCGTGATCAAAAGAGAGAAACTATGTATGCTGTAAAAATAAAACATTAAACCTCTTCGCTTTACCACTTGGTGGAGTCTGTGCCCTTTGTTGCTGCAGTTTGCTTCTCTAACTACTAGAAAAAATTGACAAGTTTTGGAACTCATAGGCCCGTCCTCAGATATCCAACAGGGATGAGGCAGAAGCTGCATTATACCCACATTTTATATTTGCGTCATATAAAACTTGACCGAGTAGAAACTTAGGTATGTCCTTGGGCATAGGATGCACTGATTTCTCCCATCACTGTACTAGTTAAGTCACATGGTCAACTCTACTCATGACCTTTTAAGTCCCCTTGAGGTCAACCCTAAGGCAAAGCTCCTCAGAGTTTTGCTCACATGCTCATTAAGGTCCACAGAAATGTTCCATGTCCTTGTACCTACCCCACAGTTCAAACTGCACCCAGAGACAGTGGGAGCACACGAGCTCACATCCCCTTTGCTGCTTTGGGTGTTAGTCAATCTACCTGCTACTGCTTGAAGAGGACTCTATTCCAGCAGCAGCATGCCACCTCCTTGCAGTCTGCCAAGTGTTACCAGCTCCTGGTTTTAAGGCATAGCTACAAGTCTGCTCAAAAGACAACCATGCTGCCTGTTAGCATTCCTGCTGTCCCTAGCTGTTGCTGCAATCCTGCTCCTGGAAGCCAGTCCTCACAACTCTGCCTGTGGAGCTTCATATGAGGTTGGCTCTTGGGCAACAATGAAGGCTTTCAGCTCACAGGACTGCTTTCGCACTGTAATCTATTAGAGATTGTTCCCAACTGTTGCACAGCCAAAGATAAAGCAAAGAAAGTGTAACTGTTCAACCAGCACAGCTAGATCCAGGACAGTGTGTTTGCAAGCAACCAAAAGCTAGCCCATCCATGCACATCAGTACAACACAATGTTGCCTTGCCAATTGTGGTTTGAGTTTGATGCCCCAAATCCGTAAAATCAGTTATACACCAGCACTCATGCTCTGATCTTATTTATTCCGGGATAAATGACGAGCCACATCTGCAGGCACTGCTTCTGTAGGTTAAAGCTACTATAAAGAAAAGGAGAGTCAGGACCAAGGAATCAATTGGGATGGGCCTTGTGAGCACAAGTTCTTAGCAGCAGCTTCTACTCACTGTGAGTAGCTGTTATTAGCAGCAATCAGGTCTCGACATCAGCATGAGCTGGCACACCGGGGTGACGGAGGGCAGGCTCACTGCCTGGAATACAGTCAGCATTTCCTGGACTCAAGTCGTACACAAGCCAGAAGTAACTCTTTCCATCTCGAGTGAGCTTCTGCTCTTTGCTATTAATAACTGCCTATTTTTGCATTCACTGCAAGATAAGACTGGACACAATTTTTTTATAGAAGAAAAAAAACTTTATTCTTCTTTAGTTATTGCGCAAGAGACATTTGGAGAGACGGATATGGGGAATGGCACAGCAAATCCTGCCACCAAAACTGGCAGGAAAGAAGGTTCAATGTATTTTCCCAAATGTCTGGGTTCACATACCTATGGAAAAAAAGTATCTACCCATCATAAAAACCAAAGAAATGACAACGCCAATAAAAAAGCCCTGTGCTTCACTTTTGTTTTGAAAACTTCAAAGTCTATACTTCTACCAGTGCAAAGTGAGCAGGTGAAAGCAGGCAGTGAAACGCTGTAGAGCTTGTAGTTCTTAGTCTTATGTTGGCCTGCCACAAAGTGGTATTACCTACTTCTGATAAAGCTCAAAATTCCATAAATAACACTGAAGTCTTCCAGCAACTGTGGATGATTAACCACAACTGCTTACTATTTTTGAGGGCTGTTGCTATTTGTTTTGGAAAAGACTTCTGCATGCTGTTTAGTATTAAATTGCACAGGATGAATACAGTGTATTAGATGAACCGGTATGGCTTCTGGGAGCAATTTCAGCCAGCTCCTCCAAATAATCATTTTTGGACCATTATTTCTCCTATTAATATCAGAAAGCAAGTCTTTGTCCACGCAGGAAAACAAGCTACAGGTTTGCCCTCACCACAATAAACATGACAAAGGACATCTTTATGTGAAAACTTGTTAAAAAGTTTCTGAGAAGTAGACAGCATCATCCTGATAAACCTGTTGAAGATGCAATGGAGAAGGACACTTGGCTCAGGAGCTGTGACTTAAATATATATACTAAAAAAATACATCACTTTGGGTTAAAGATTATTTTGGGGATGAGATACCGACTTTTAAGGCTAAACTAAAAGTGTAGGTGTATATTACAAGAAGATATGGCAAAGTTTTTTACATCATAAGTTTTTTAAAATAAATTATCAGCAAGTATTTACAGACAGCTGTAGATGTAAGATGGTCTAACAAAAGGTCCTGCTGAACATTCCTGCAGTGAAGCTGCAAGGCGTAGAAGAAATTGTCTGAGCGAAAGGAAACATCTAAATGGTATATGTAACAATAAAGAAAGATCTGAAGTTTGCTGTAGGGTCTGTACTTTCTGCAACAGGACAGAGCAGGGGCATAGGTTACCTGTGACCCCTCTCATAGTGTTAGTAACTGTTAGTTAGGTTTCACTACTGGAAAAAGCACACAGGAGTAGTTTAAATGTCCTATGGAGTTGCCTAATGTGAACTCTTCGCCAACAGGCTCACCAAGCTTATGAGGAAAGCTCTGAAGTCGGAATGATGGGAAGGGAGATCACAACCCACAGTTAAGCAGTAGTGGACAAGGGTGCAAATTAAAGGTACAGGAACAAAAGAGACCTCAGGTGAGCCAGCTTGCACAACTGGAGCACTGCAGCGGATGGGCAGAAGATCTACAGGGAAGTAACGGATGGAGGAGTAGAAGAGAGGCTGCCCTCTCTGTGAAAGAGTGTCTTGAATGTATGGAGCTCTGATACAGAGCAGGTGACAGGCTGTGAGCCTGTGGAGTATCATCACCAGCAAAACACAGACATGAACATGCTAGAGTGGATCCAGAGAAGAATCATGAAGATGATCAGAGGGATGGAACATCTCTCCTATGCATAAAAAAAAAAAAAAAAAAAAAGAGGCAGAAGGCGGCATGAAGGTACATGCACAAATACATGCAGCATGGAAAGCAAACAGGGAGAATTACAGTTCTCCATGAGTTCACAGAACAACGACATTGTTGGAATAACTGAGACATGGTGAGCCAGCTTGCACAACTGGAGCACTGCAGCGGATGGGCAGAAGATCTACAGGGAAGTAACGGATGGAGGAGTAGAAGAGAGGCTGCCCTCTCTGTGAAAGAGTGTCTTGAATGTATGGAGCTCTGATACAGAGCAGGTGACAGGCTGTGAGCCTGTGGAGTATCATCACCAGCAAAACACAGACATGAACATGCTAGAGTGGATCCAGAGAAGAATCATGAAGATGATCAGAGGGATGGAACATCTCTCCTATGCATAAAGGCTGAGAGAGTTGGGGTTGTTTAGCCTGGAGAAAAGGCGGCTTCGGGGAGACCTTATTGCAACCTTTCAATACATAAAGGGGGCTTATAAGAAAGATAAAGACTTTTTACCAAGGCCTGTAGTGACAGGACAAGGGGCAACAGTTTTAAACTGCAAGAGGGTAGATTTCGGTTGGACATAAGAATAACATTTTCTACCATGAGGGTTGTGAGACGTGGGATTATGTTGCCCAGAGAAATTGTGGATGCCCATTATTGGGACTGTTCAAAGTCAGATTGGACAGGGTGTTGAGCAATCTGATCTAGTGAAAGATGTCCTTGCCCATGGCAGGGGGTTTCCTTTAAAAGGTCCCTTCCAACCCAAACCATTCTATGATTCTATACATAGGTAAAGAACTGGTTGAATGTTTGGGCTCAGATGGTAGTGGATAACAGGTCATACTCTACCTGGATGGCTGAGACAAAGTGGAATACTACGAGGGTCTATGCAGGAACTCACCCCATTTAACATTTCCATTAGTGATCTTGAAAAGGGGATAAAGTGCAGTCTTGTCAAGTTTGTAGATGATATCAAGTTGAGGACAATCAGTTAACATGCTGAAGGGCTGGGCTGTCAGAGAGACCTAGACAGGTTAATATTAAAAAAGGACAAATGTAAAGCTCTGGAAAAGAGGAACCACTTGCAACGATACAAACTAGGGTCTGGCTGGCAGGGGAGCAGTTCTGCTGAAAAGAAGCAGGGGGATCTCAGTAAGCAGCAAGCCGAACATGAGCCAGCAGTGGCCCCTGGCAGCAAAGGTGGCCAAGAGCATCCCGAGCTGTATTAACAGGAACTTAGCCAGTAAATTGAGGGTAGTGATTATGCTCCTCTACTCAGCACACATTAGGGTGCATTTAGAATACTACATCCAGTTTTGGACCCCTTCAAGAAGACAGACATCAATAAAATTAGAGCATGTTCAGTGGAAGACTACCAAGATGGTCAGAGCACTTATCCTGTGAAGAGAAGCTGGAAGCACTGTACTTGTTCAAGCCTGGAGAGGAGTAGGCTTTGGGAGAGTATCTAATAGCAGCCTTCCTGTACCTACAAACTGATCATCAAAAAGATGGAGACGTGTTCTTCATAGTAGTGCCTGATCAGGGAACAAGAGAGAATGGGCATAAGTTAAAACAAGAGGGAAGATGAAGGGGGAGTTTCTGATCTCCGATTATTGTTGTGAAACCTTCATGACTCTTTACACATACCAAGTTCAAAATAACTGAAATGGCTTTCAGCTTTCATAAACAACCAGCATGCAGAAATCACAAAACACACTCCGTAGCTTGATGTTCTGCAAAATTTAATACATGGTATTCTTTTTTTCTGGCTCTTTTTGAGCTTCAGTGTATTTATGTTTTCAAGTTTTTTTTCCAGTTAGAAGGCACCTAAAAATATATTACTCTTTAGAAAAGAATAGCTTGATATTGTCTTAAAATAATGTGAAGCAGAGCTAAGACGTAAAAAAAGAACCCTAAAAGTGCAAAAAATATCAGAAGTTCTAGACAAAAACCCCAACCACTGCTAATGGTAGCACCTTTGTTCCAATGCAACAGCAAACTGAACTGTAGCTTTATCACAAAGTTAACCACTATCGGGAGATGACCAGTCTGCCAGTCTTCTGACAACTCCAAGAGATAGGTATCTTGAAGAATATTTGTTTGTTCCACTGAGTTCCTGCATTTGCTAGTCTCAGTTCTCCAGCAAACTTCTATCCATCTGGAACTGCTGAAAGATGCATCATCTTTCTTCTGACTGTAAAAAAAGTACTGATCCAAAATTCCATAGAAAGCTGACTAGTTTTTGATTTATCCTCATTCATGCAAATGGATATGACTTTTTTAACTCTAAATACCAATTCTAAAAGTGTCCTTAGCTCTTACATTTTGTGTTAGTAGAGAACCATTTGTTAAAACTTGATACAAAACAATAGAGAAGGTTTTGTACATGATTTAGCCTACTTATCTTCGTGCAGTAACACTAGAAAAGGAGGCTATCCCTTCTGAGAAAAAGTAGGCACTGGAAACATTTCAGCCAGTCTTTGTCTTCACAGATAACTCCAGTGCTGGTGGAAAACCTTCAAAAGATAGCAGTTCCTTCACTGTTGAATTCTACTGCTTCTCTTCCGTCGTTGTTCGGTTCACAAAGCACTTCTCTGCTTATGATTTAACACCCTGAAGCAAAAAGAAAAAGAAAAGCACAAAGGTAAATTATTATGTCTTCTCTTTTACAAATGGAACTAGTTATACAAGAACACTGCAGGATTTAAATACTAATGAAGTATGAAGATGAATTAAGACATTGTCACATGATCCAAAACAATCCAATTACAGCAGCTATGTGATCTGTGGTATCTGCTAGCCGCTAGCCATTTTACCCAAATCATCTGTTTACGGTTAGACACGTTCCTCTGCAACTAGATCAGGTTAAGAACATTTATCACTTATTTCCAGCCTCCTGCTAAGCAGCTGGTAAGCTGTGAGGCTGTTCTGAGTCCATGACTTTGGATCACATACCTAGGCACTTAAGACACTGCTTTTATGCAAAGATTCAGGTATAATCTTAGTATCAGCTGTGCACCACACATGCACGTGATGCTGCTGCTATTTCTTCCACACAGTAGTGCCAGATGCTTTTGGAGTTTTCTCTTCTGAGGACTGCAAATAGAGCTCTTATTTGACAAGCAATGAAACTGAAGGCAAAAGGACATTATAGTGCAGGAAGTTAGAATCCAGCAAGTTCAAGACTATGTGCCCAACCAAACACACTGCATGCAACATGCATCAACCTCTAACCTAGGCTGATTTCCAATAAAGCATACGCAAGGCCCACTTACACTGGTGTTTCCATCTTGATGCACAGAGAGAAATAGTATAAGAAGAACCAACTGGATGTGTCATGGCACTGTGTCATTCAGACTTTGCTCCTATTTTGATAGCACTACTTCTCCTTTCCACTAGTATCTAGCTCAGCATCACTCCAACATAGGACAAGATACCAGGAGGCAGTCTAGGAGAGCAGCATATGACCACACATGGCACTCATCTCTATAGACAATGAGAAAAAGAAAGATGTCCCCAGTCTGGTTCTCGTAAGACTCCTGGATAGCCCTGAAATATTTCTACGATTTATATCCTTAAAATCCAAGAAGGTTTACTACTATGGCTGCCTTATGCCAGCTTGATGACAAGACCAACGAATATGATTGAGAAGCCAGCCTACGGGGGCAGGGGCTGCTACGTGCTTGTGTCTGTGCAGTGAGAGGGCCTGAATATGAAAGTAGTGTTCTCCTCTCATTTTATAGTTGTGGTGACAAGCATCGGGTTTCACACCCCCCACAGAACGTGGAGAACGTTCTGTCTCCCAACAGCATGCAAACAGCACCAAAGGAAGTACATCTACATCTGATGTCTTGCTATAACATAACAACATAACTATTTCTGATGCTAAACCTTTAAGCATGACGTAGGAGCTCAGTTTAGCCAAGCAAGTAGCCCTTGCAGAGCAGCACGTCACATAGGCCAGGAATAATGACTGACTTCTGGTCTTCAGTATTGCTCCTTGGCAACTAACACGATCTGACTCAGTTACGACAAGATACCACAGCTTCCCCTCCAGCTATATGGCCCTGTTTAAAGTCTGTTTCCTTGTCTGGTGACAGTTTCATCAGCAGCTTCCTCTGCATCAGAGCTAGGTTTCTTATACTCAGTGCTAACTCCCTCCACCCTTCCACTCATCCACATTTTCTCACATTCGGAGATTTTTTTTTTTTTTCCCCTTGTTTCACCATTGTCTTCAGCAAATATTGAATGTGATTGCTTGGCTGGTAATTCAACAGAAGAATCAAACCTGGCAGAACAGAAAACTGCAGCAGTAAGGTGCCACTAGCTTCCACATTCATGTGCATTTTGAGAATCTTTAAATGTATTATCTGCATCAGTGGTCTCCAAAGTGGTGTGTGTTCAAGGCAGTTCATTGCAGTGCAGGAAGAAAATATCTTTACACTATTAATAAAATTAAAAAAACTAAGATTCTGTTTACTTCATCCTTATCTCATTCTTCTTTAATTTCTATTTTTGTGCATGTTTTATAATGTACTATTACTTGAGTATGGTAGCATGTGTATATAATTTATAAATATGCATAAATTATGTATGTTCAAAATATTTTACTGATGGGGTATACAATCAAAAAGGTTTGGAGACCACTGATCTACAACACAAAAAGCAGAAACCAGTATGAAATGCCCATAGTTGCACCAGTTAACTAAGTGGTTAGTTAAGTGGTGGCTGTATGACACACAAAACAACATTTTTTTCTTTTCTTTTGCAGGAAGGAAAATTGTTTTCAGTCTATCTGAAAACTTCAGTTCTTACCAAGCAAAAATGCTTCGACACACACTGACTTATAATACACGTTTTCTAAGAGCTTTTTAAATTTTCTTTTTAAACATTTAAGTCAGATACAAAATTTCAAAACAAGAACTTTCTGGTGGCTCAGTTAATAAATTTGGAAACAAAAGCCTTTCATAGAATAACTCAAGTTGGAAGGGATCCACAAGGATCATTGAGTCCAACTCCCTGCTCCTTGCAGGACTACCTAAAAACTAAACCATATGACTAAGAGCATCATCCAGATGCTCCTTGACCTCTGACGGGCTTGGTGCTGTGACCACTTCCCTGGGGAGCCTGTTCTAGTGACCAAGCAACCACCCTCTCAGCGAAGAGCCTTCAACAGCTCCCCCTCCACTGCCCCCCTTGAGGAAGTTGTAGACTGCGATGAGGTCACCCTTCGCATTTCACAAGCCGCAAAGCAATTTTTTCCATCCATTCCTTTCTTTCCTCACTCAAGTTTATTTGCTATAGCTGACCTAGTTTCACATGCCTCCAAAAACTTTATTTTTTCACAGATGTCTTATTTGTCAGATACTTTTTAACTAGCTACATTCTTTGTAGAACAGCCAGCACTGACGAAGGCTTCAGCTCTGGGAAACAAGCTCATGCCCTCTACTGCTAGGCTCACTCTCGGTTTAACTACAACACACTCAAAGGGCAGCAAAGCTTTATGGCTGAGAAAGTAACAGCTTCATGCCACACTTATTTCATACGCACATCTCAGCCTGTCCTGCTATCACTGCAACAGCAACCCCCCACAACTCCTTCCCCTGTCTCCCACCCTTCCTTCACCCTTTGAATCCACTGCTGACCAGCATCCCATCCCCTCCAGTATGCCAGCCCAGTGCTCACCAAGGCCCTTTATGATCAGATGTAACCTATTAGTCCAGTAGAAGACCACACAGATTTTTCTGCTGGGTCAGTTCCCTGCTATATGAGGTAGCTAAACTGGCTAACAGGGCGTGATAACATCAGAGGTGGTTCAAAGAGCACAACCTCCACTTTAAGTGATAGTAGGTGGCCACATTGGCTCAAGCCATCCTACAAATTATAGTCTACGAGGAACAATTTTCACCCACCCACAGGGAAGACAGAGCTCCCTGAAGTCAGAATAAAGCTTGAACTACGGTAAGTTACAGCGAGTCTCTGATACCCAGATAAGCTGAGTGCCCTCATTAGACTGGATTCAAAGTTCAGCAACAGTTCTCAGTATTATCTTAACCTGTGTAAGCTTCTCAACACACCAGCAACAGGAAACTTTTATTAAATACTTACTTAGAGTTTTCCTTCTGAAAAATCTTACACAACTCCAGTGAATTATCTCATGACCTGCTGGTCACGCACTTCAACTATATCCCTTAGGAATTGAGTAATTCACGATTATTGATGGCCACTGATTTTACTTCTCCATGCTGCCATTGAATCTGCTAGGTTGGGGAAATTACTTCTGCCTCCACCACCTGGTTGTCACAAAGACCAAAGACTTTGAGATATAGTACTATGGTACAGTTCAACTATTCTGCCTGGAACCTTCTTGTTTCACAGGTAGGAACTTCGGGTTTTCTACAGAAGTGTTCAGCAGGATTTTCTGTAAAACTACCAGGTGCTTTGGAAACCAAATTTAAAGTGTAGTAATTTCTCTCTTGGCAAGGGCTTGACCTTTTTTTGTGTTCTTTGTCAGATTTAGATGTGTCAGTAAGACTTTTCACTATAAAGTAAAGGTCAATGATCTCAGCTGCAAACCTTCAAACTTTAATACTTCTTGGGAATCATACTGTAAAACTAATTAATGAAAAGAGTGAAACCAATTAGCATTCCATAGGCTTTCTCTACTCTAGAAAAAATTCTACAGAAACAGTGTTCTCATCTGGATGCATGCCAGAGATTGGGGACAGGACTAATCTGAGTTTTTATATTCTCCATGTTGACGTACTCCAAGAAGCAACTGTGTGATCTCACAGATGTTCTGTTCTGCACGCATACCATAGAAAACAGACTGAGAGGGCAAAACATCTTTGGACATATGTAAATGGAGGCCTGTTATGTCCCCATAGTAAATGCAGCATACTGAACCAATGACCGTGTAAAGGTTCTAACTAATTCATGGAATATGAAACAGCTCTTGAGAAACATTGTGTTTCTGCAGCCTGAATTTCACCAATATCCATAAGTTGTAGTGTTGATCAACTATTGCTCCATACAGAGTAATAACCAGTTTTCTCATTCCACATGTTAGTCCTTAGGCCCACTTGTCTGTTAATTTAGAAGAGCTTTCCCACCTCCCACCGTGTCCATTGTAGTTTTAAAAAACAACAAACCACACAAAAACCACAAATAAGTAAACTTTGTAACCAAAGACGACAGAGCTGCACACCTAAGCAATAAAAAAACCCTTCAGTGTTACACACTATCTCTCTACTTTGATATGATGTTCAACAACATTCATAATTAACAAGGTAGAACTGCAGTTCAGAAATCCACTGAACCCTCAGCCACTATAAGCCTTCATCACTTGTTAAGGCATGGAATGAAGTGAGAATGCAAGCACGAGCAAGAGTTGTGTTATTAATGAAGATTAGTAACATTTAATCCTACAGTTTTAAATTGGCTAAATTAGCCAGTCTTCTAAGTACTTCCACCACAAACATATGATTCCCTACCACACATCACATAAGCATGTACCCACCACACATGCACCCCCTGGCTCCTAATAACTCTCTGTTTTCTACTTGAGCAAAAAGGGGTGAGGGTTATATATAGCTTGGCCCAGCACTTGCCACTCCCAGTCAGCACACTCTCCTGAGACACAGGGAGCTTCCCCCTCACATACCTTCTTCACTGCAGCTGGGAGAGTCCCCCGGCTCCTTCTTGCTTCCATCTTCTGCACCCTGGGTCACTTTTGCAAGGACAACAGGCAATAGTCAGACAATCCTGGAGCTCACAACACTCCTTTTTCCCAGCCCATATGGATCAAGAGTAGTCTGACTGAGAGCTGGGGCTACTTGTTCTGCATCAAAAATAGCCCTGATCAACAACCCCCACCCCCATGGGGTCATCATACAACACCCCCGCTCTGTCCTCCGTACCTGACTCCACACGCTGTCCTCAAGCTCCCCTTCCAGATCTTGCAAAGGACAAGCACAGAAGGCACTCGGCACTCATGGTGCCACCATAACTTCACATCAAGAAGCATTAGGCAAAAGTCACAAAGAACGAGGACAGCTCCAGAGCACAAGCACTTACCTCCCTCATTTACACCATGCTCATCTCCATGCTTGTCCTGCAAGCTGCTGCTCTGCTCCTCAGAGGTGTCTGAAGAGAGATCAGAAGACAGTTACAGTCCTCTGCCTTGCTCACCTTCAAAGTACTGACCTTTGCATAAAAGTTAATTACTAGCTACAACTCAACATGTTGCCACTAACACCAGAAAGCCAACACCTTTCCCCCACAGCCCTCCACCACAGAACAGGCACTTACCCGCCTCATTTACACCACTGTCATCTCCATGCTTGTCCTGCAAGCTGCTGCTCTGCTCCTCAGAGGTGTCTGAAGAGAGATCAGAAGACAGTTACAGTCCTCTGCCTTGCTCACCTTCAAAGTACTGGCCTTTGCATAAAAGTGAGTTACTAGCTACAACTCAACATGTTGCCACTAACAACAGAAAGCCTATACCTTTCCCCCATAGCCCTCCACCACAGAACAAGCACTTAGCCCCCTCAGTTACACCATGGTCATCTGCATGCATCAGGGTACTGTTCTGCTTGGTAGAGAGCTCTGAAAAGACATCACAGGACAGCTACATCCCACTGCTTAACTTCACAGCGGTATTGGTCATTACTTAGAGATGAGTCACCAGATACAATTCATAAGAATCGTAATAATCATTCAGGTTTGCCCAGGGGGGAATCCAGGAGGTCTCTAACCCAACCCTTCCTCAAAGAAAGGTTGATGTTCATTTCCAGACAGGCTGCTCAGAAACTTCTCCAGTCAGGTCTTAAAAACCTCCAAAAGTAGAGACTCCATGACAACTCTTTGCAGCCTGTCCTAGGAATTAGTCATGCTTAAAAGGCAGAAATCTTTTTCTTATATCCCCACAGAATCTTCCCTGCTTCAGTTTAGGACCACCACCCTGATATTGCCCTGTACAGCTAAGTAAACTGCTTGGCTTGGCCTTCTTATCAATATCCTCACAGGTATTGGCAGCTGCTGTCAATGTACCCTGAAAACCTGCTCCTCTCTGGACTTGAACAAGCCCAGTTTCTTCAACATCTCCACAGATTAATTGTGCTCTAGCCTCTGACCACGTTGGTGACACTCTGCTGAACTTACTCAAATTTATCAGCACTTTTCCAGCACTGGGTGGGACAAAAACTAAATATAATACTCCACATATCACCTAACAAGTGCCAAGTATTGGAAAATAACCATTTGCTTCAATGAACTGGCTTAAGCACTCCTTAAAACAACCTAGGATGCTATCAGCTGCCTTTGCTACCAGGGAGCACTGTTGACTAATACTGTACCAGCCATAAGGACTCCCTGGTACCTTTCAGCAGAGCTGCTCCCCTTCCAGTCAGTCCCCGTTTTACACCAGTGCAAGCTGTTAGTCCTTCCAGGTGCAGGACCCTGGTCATTCATCCTCAGGAATTCTGCCAGCCCCACTAACACATCTACTAAGTGCAGGTAGCTATGATTATTCAATATTGGACCTCAACTGAGACTTGGAGGCTGTATGTGCACACAATGAAAACCAACTCAAGCTTAGACCTCGAAAAAAAGGAAAGAGGAGATCAGGCTCCTTGCTCCAACCAACAGCAGATGCTCATAAACATCTATACCTCAAAACAAGTCTCTTACCTCTCTCTGAGTTAGGGTGTTCATGGCAGTCCCCAGAGCGAAGTGGCTCATGTTCTTCTGTAATGAATTTTATTTATTTTAGAAATGTGTTAATGACCCGGAAAAAAGAACTACACTCTGTAAAACAACTAAGGCCTGAAAGAAAACTTCCTCCTTTACCTCTCCAATGAAAGACTGTACTGCCACAGAGAAAAAATTTACAAGCCTAGACCAAATAAAAGCAATAGTCCCATTTCCACACAGTTGTGACACTCTAGCTCTCTTACCTGAGCCAGGCACTGGACTATTCCTCTGAGCAGCATTTGCTGTTGCAGAGTTCCTTCTACCTGTACCAAAACAAATAGAATAGCTGAAGAAACGACTCAGAAACAAAGTGTTGTGCCTTTGGAAACTAGCTGACAGCCTCCATCCATTCCACTCACTCCCCAAACCAAATTATAAAAAAAATTCACTGAGGACACGCAACTGAATACTTGACTTGGGAAAGAGGAAAGAGTGAAATACTGTTTTGGGGCAAAGACAATCAGGGAGAGATCAACAAAATGGGCCTCCTGCAACAACAACAACAACTCAGAACATATCTAACCAAATCTAAAGCAGAGCTTAGCAATTCATGATTCTGACTCTTACATTTCAATCAGCAAATCACATCTTCTGTTTGATTATACCCCTGCAATGTTTACCCTAAAAGCAGAGCTTAGCAATTCATGATTCTGACTCTTACATTTCAATCAGCAAATCACATCTTCTGTTTGATTATACCCCTGAACTGTCTACCCTACTGAGGTATAACAAGTTCATTTTCTAGTAGAGCTAAACCTTTGCTGTTTCAAGGGAAGTACCGGTACACAACCCCTTATTCTTCAGATGAGGAAAGCTGTTCTATGCCTACTACGATTCATGCAGGAAGAACTAGCAGTGAAACACAAGGGCTTCTGGGTTTCCTTTTCCTTATTGTCACCATTACTGATTTCTCCCTTCATAAGAAAACACCTCTGCCTTCTTCAACCCCCTTTATTATCAGCCATTTGTGGAAAGTGGTGGAAGAGTGAGCGAGCGAGTGGACCATCAGTGCAACAGCTTGGGGAAAACCCCCAATTTTTGCTGATTTGAACTATAATGTTCGCATTTCACTATCCCTCTGGAGTAAGAAGAACTTAGAAAAAGCAATAGTAGTCCCACAATTTCCTTGAAATTTACACTGGTTGTACTAAGAAAACAAAACCAGGGCTGTGCTTAGTTGCCTGATGAATGCAGTCAAAAGACTCCCCTAGAGCATAAAGCACGTGGAAGACATTGCACCCATAAATGCTGCTTCTCTAAGGAAAGAAGCCTGCTATATCTCCCAAATTAGCAATTTGCATCACATCAGCCCTTGCTGGTGCATCTGACAGCCTATGAAAAGTTGTCCCTGATGCTGCCCAGAAAGCTTCCTGACTGCTTCAATTGCTGTGTTGCCTTCCCTGCAGATGTCAGGGAGGCTGACGACAGGCACACACAGAGTACTGTCTTCCACCAGAGACAATGACGGACAGCCTGACTCCATTTCACAGAGTATTGATCTCTGCAAACCCAGACAGAAGCTCACAAAGCTTCCTCTTGGTCACACCTACTCTTGCTCCTCACTTAAGTGCTTCATGGGCAGACACTGGGGGACTGGAGACTCCCTTGCAGAGATCTCCCAACAGGCAGCATTAACCACACCACTAGAAGCCAGCACTTCATCAGTGACTACCACTTGACCAGTATTCTCAGCCCAGTCGGACTGGATTTTTTTACCTTTTTTTTAAAACCCCGCTGATCTCCAGAACACACGCACCTCTTTGAAGCACATACACTCTGCTGGGATTATTTCAAAAGGTTGTGAGAATGCAGACTCACTCTGCCCTAGCAGAACATAAACCCGCTGCTTTTGACTACAGCCTGAAAGCTGGTTAATTCTGCTCCTGAAACTCCTGCACAGAGCACAGGTATTCAGTATTCATGGCACAAAATCCCCCAACACCACCGTTGAGAAGCATTATGCAGAAGTCACCCTGAGCCTTCAGCTCTAAAGGAATCCTGGCCAGTTTGCCCACTGGGTCATTAGCACTAACTGCTCCAGAGAACAGACACTTACCTTCCTGTTTTACACCATCATTAACCATCTGCTTTTCTTTCTGGGGACTGTCCTCGTTCAAGCCTTCGTCTGCAAAGAGATGAAAGAAGAGCTACAGTCCCTCAGAAGCACACTGTGTCCACTTCTTCCCTACATCAGCATAAGTCATTGTGTACAGAGCCCAGCAGCACACCACCTCCTCTGCAATTGTTACATACCCAGGTCCTACCAGCAGAAGCCCTATTTAGAATTGTTCTCCAAAAGGCATCATAGCCTTGCCTACTGCTTCCCAGCTGTACAGCAGTGATTGCATGCTACTTAGGTGTGGATTGCAGCTGTAGGGTGTGCTGCGCAAAGGTGCACTGACTCCCTTTCCTCACATACATAAAGTATTTCATTCTGTTCCTCAAGTGTTGTCTGACTGGACACTAATCTAGGGACATGATTCTCTTTTGCCTAAACTGTACATTTCCCTCCTTTCTTCCACAAGACAGGCATAAAATAAACCTCCTTTTCTTATATCCATGTCTATGTACGTGGAAGTGGTTACGCAAGTGATAAGACAGTGAAATTTACAGTCCACTCCCACAATGTACCACACCTTTGCTATCAGGTACACAACTCCTTATTCTTCAGATGAGGAAAGCTGTTCTATGCCTACTACGATTCATGCAGGAAGAACTAGCAGTGAAACACAAGGGCTTCTGGGTTTCCTTTTCCTTATTGTCACCATTACTGATTTCTCCCTTCATAAGAAAACACCTCTGCCTTCTTCAACCCCCTTTATTATCAGCCATTTGTGGAAAGTGGTGGAAGAGTGAGCGAGCGAGTGGACCATCAGTGCAACAGCTTGGGGAAAACCCCCAATTTTTGCTGATTTGAACTATAATGTTCGCATTTCACTATCCCTCTGGAGTAAGAAGAACTTAGAAAAAGCAATAGTAGTCCCACAATTTCCTTGAAATTTACACTGGTTGTACTAAGAAAACAAAACCAGGGCTGTGCTTAGTTGCCTGAGGAATGCAGTCAAAAGACTTCCCTAGAGCATAAAGCACGTGGAAGACATTGCATTCATAAATGCTGCCTCTCTAAGGAAAGAAGCCTGCTATATCTCCCAAATTAGCAATTTGCAAACTTATAAGTATCCCATCTCTGAATCGGTGTGTTCTGGCTCAGATATATTTACCATCAATACAAAGAAAGTTTAGAAGCTGCAGCATTTCATTATCTTAGGTCCTGTTTGAGGGCTTCCTCCCAGCAGAAAGCAAAGATCGCCTACCCATGATGACTTATTAAGAAAATATCTTTGCGCTCTTTGGCATGCAAATAAAAGGTAGCACTAGACAAAAGGACAATTTGCTTATTTACCATATAAAGAGGTTCCCTCATACATAATTAGTTGTTCTTTCCACAGATGGTGAAGTGCTTTGCAAACTCAGCATGCAGCATCATTCTCATCATAATCAAGCGGGAAGTTGAAGCCCCAAGAAGGTATTTGCTCAGTGCAGTTTAACAGGGACAAGGATCCAGATCTTTTTGACTTCCTATCTATGGTCTATCCATCAACAGTTACTGTTTCTAAGGCAACATGTCTTTCTAGGCCAACAGGGGAATGGTAAAGTCTCTACATTAAGAACATGCTAATATGTTTTGGACTGAAAAAGGACATGTGTGAAATTAATTCCTCCCTTCGTGTTCCTCTGGTTTAGGGCAACATCTCACTTCTTACCTGCTCCAGGGTTTTCTTTCTCAGAGTCAGCAACTTGTGAAGAGTTAGCTGCAAGCAAACAGAAATCCTTTTTAGAAAGGATTGTGGAGGTAACACAGCAGTCTGCAAAACATGCAACTCAGCCTTAGACGGTTTCACAATAACATTTTTCACACATACTCTTGAGAGCTCGTATGCTATGCCACTTTATTGAAGGACTCACAATTCATTTCAACTTCAACTTCCCTTCAAAAACCTCTTAAGGTCTCAGACCATAACCAGCATTATCTACAGTTATGCCTACACCTTTACAAAATCTTTCTGATGTGGGCTTACTTAAGGTGATAAAGCTGCACAGATTTGCCATAAGAAGCCAGAGACTGCTGAGAAGAGAATCCACATATCCTGTCTTTACTTCGCTTAGGTATTACACTAACATCGTGACTTTTTATAAACCCTTTCTTTTTGCAGACCATAAAGAATCTCTAATAGAAGCACGGACCATAATAAAGTAAATGTAAATGCAGTAGGAAAAGGGGGCTCTTTTAGCTTTGCCTTCTTCCCCCTCCATCCTTCTCCTTTTTTCACCTTGAAAGCCATCAGTAGTCTCTGAACCACGGGCTAGAACCACAGCTTTAACTAATGTATGAAAATATCAGAAGAAAAATGAAGTTCTTTATCCAAAAATCCTGCTAAAAAGCTCCTAAGACTTTGATATGCTGGGGCATGGGGGAAAAAGGGAAATAAAAATTAAAAAGCCTCCCAACAACCAAAAATCCCCAAACCCTGCTTTCATAGAACTGCCTCCCTATCCGTGGCATCTTTTCCACACCCATCACCAAGGACCTTATCACATTTATTAACCATGAAAACATTAAGAAACTACAAAAATTAAAGAACAACTTAAGAAATTAAATTACATATACAGAAGATCTCTGCAAAGGTGACACAGCAGTTTGTAACCCAAGAAACACACTGCTTCCAGCCTTGTGTTTACTCCAGCAGCTTATGTAAGATACCACACCGAATATCCCACATGAAAACACCATTGGTTCAACACTAGCAAGAAGTGCTGTCCACACTTCTTTTGATGCACCCCAGGATGCAGTTGGCTTTCTGGGTTGTGAGTACACATCACCGGCTCTTGCTGACCTTCTCATCAACCAACAATCCCAAGTTCTTGTCCTCAGGGCTGCTCGCAATCCATCCACCACTCAGCCTGTACTAGTGCTTGGGATTGCCATGTCCCAGGTGCAGGACCTTGCACTTGGCCTGGTTGAACTTTGCCAGGGTTGCACAGGCTCATGTCTCAAGGCTGTCCAGGTCCCTCTAGATGGCATCCCTTCCCTCCAGCGTGTCAACCACACCACACAGGTTGGTGTCACTGGTGAACCTGCTGAAGGTGCACTCAATCCTGCTGTCCATGTTAAATAGCACTGGTCCCAGTATCGACCCCTGAGGAATGCCACTTGTCACTTGGACATCAAGCTGTTGACCACAACTCTTTGAGTGCAGTCACCCAGGCAATTCCTTATCCACCGAGTGGTCCATCCGCCAAATCCATGTCTCTTCAATTTTGAGACAAAGATGGCATGCAGGTCAGTGTCAAATACTTTGCACAAGTCCAGGTAGATGATGTCAGTCGCTCTTCCCTTTTCCACCAATGCTGTAACCCCGTTGTAACCCCACCAAATTTGTCAGGCACAATTTGTCCTCAGTGAAGCCATGCTGACTGTCACTTTCCATGTGCCTTAGTATAGTTTCCAGCAGGATCTGCTCCATGATCTTGCTTGGCACAGAGATGAGAGTGACCGGCTCGTAGTTCCCCAAGTCTTCCCTTTTTCCCTTTCTAAAAATGGGGGTTATGTTTCCCGTTTTCCAGTCAGCAGGAACTTCACTGGACTGCCACAGCTTCTCAAATATGATGAACAGTGGCTTAGAAACTTCATCCACCAGTTCCCTCAGGACGCGGGGATGAACCTCATCAGGTTCCACGGACTTGTGCACCTTCAGTTGCCTTAGATGGTCTCACACCTGGAGTCATGCACCAAAAGCAAGGGCCAGAGTTCTGCACACCAGGCTAGCAATATGCCTGCCTTCACCAGTCTTGGATGGATTTTCAAGATATGACCAAGGTAAACTAACAGCAAGTTCCTGCCAGTTTGATGTGATAATACTTTCAGTCATCATTAAATCTACTGCTACATGCACAGCATCACCCCCCACCCACTGGAACTACCGCCTTTCCAAGTCAAACTCAATGCACAGAGAAAAATCTAGCTGCTTAGGTCCTGTTTGGGGACCCAATTTCCAGGATGGACCAAGGAATTGCCACGGGGGACACTGGGAATGAGCAATGTATTACATTCATCACCAGCCCTAAGCACTTGATATGAATACTGGGGTTTGAAAAATAATCAACCACATTTCTGGAAAAAGTTAGATGTTGGAAATATTAAGCCCATTTCAGCACATAAACCAGCCCTAACCAAACAGGGAAAGAGCAAGTTCTCCAACAGGTTCAGCACATAAACCAGCCCTAACCAAACAAGGTAAAGAGCAAGTTCTCCAACAGATTGCCCTATAGTGTTTACTTTGCCAGCCCTCACCCCGAGCCCACCCCCCATCCCCCATTGTCAGAAGCATAATTCACCTCCAAAGAGAACTGCTCATGAGGCAAAGCTCAGGTCATTCACTCTCAGGAATTCTGCCAGCCCCACTAACACATCTACTAAGTGCAGGTAGCTATGATTATTCAATATTGGACCTCAACTGAGACTTGGAGGCTGTATGTGCACACAATGAAAACCAACTCAAAAGCTTAGACCTCAAAAAAAAGGAATCCTGAGGAGATCAGGCTCCTTCCTCCAACCAACAGCAGACGCTCATAAACATCTATACCTCAAAACAGGTTTCTTACCTCTCTCTGAGTTAGGCTCTTCTTGGCTGTTCACGGAGCACAATGAAAACCAACTCAAAAGCTTAGACCTCAAAAAAAAGGAATCCTGAGGAGATCAGGCTCCTTCCTCCAACCAACAGCAGACGCTCATAAACATCTATACCTCAAAACAGGTTTCTTACCTCTCTCTGAGTTAGGCTCTTCTTGGCTGTTCACGGAGTAAAGTGGCTCATGTTCTTCTGTAATGAATTTTATTTATTTTAGAAATGTGTTAATGACCCGGAAAAAAGAACTACACTCTGTAAAACAACTAAGGCCTGAAAGAAAACTTCCTCCTTTACCTCTCCAATGAAAGACTGTACTGCCACAGAGAAAAAATTTACAAGCCTAGACCAAATAAAAGCAATAGTCCCATTTCCACACAGTTGTGACACTCTAGCTCTCTTACCTGAGCCAGGCACTGGACTATTCCTCTGAGCAGCATTTGCTGTTGCAGAGTTCCTTCTACCTGTACCAAAACAAATAGAATAGCTGAAGAAACGACTCAGAAACAAAGTGTTGTGCCTTTGGAAACTAGCTGACAGCCTCCATCCATTCCACTCACTCCCCAAACCAAATTATAAAAAAATTCACTGAGGACACGCAACTGAATACTTGACTTGGGAAAAAGGAAAGAGTGAAATACTGTTTTGGGGCAAAGACAATCAGGGAGAGATCAACAAAATGGGCCTCCTGCAACAACAACAAATCAGAACATATCTATCCAAATCTAAAGCAGAGCTTAGCAATTCATGATTCTGACTCTTACATTTCAATCAGCAAATCACATCTTCTGTTTGATTATACCCCTGCAATGTTTACCCTACTGAGGTATAACAAGTTCATTTTCTAGTATAGCTAAACCTTTGCCATTTCAAGGGAAGTAGCTGAATTGTTTTAAGTCTAACTGATAGACAGTTACGAGTGACATTCTTCATGTGTCAACACCAAGCATAGTGTTGTTCAACACCACTGACATGGACAAGGGTACAGAAGACACCCTCAGAAAGTTTGCAGATGACATCAAACTGGGGAAAGTAAGGGATATGCTGGAGAGCAGAACTGCCACTCAGAGGGACTTCAACAGCCTGGAGGAACGTGCTGGCAGAAAAGATGTGATGTTCAAAGGCAAAAATAAAGTCCTGCACCTCTTGAAGTCATCACAAGGAGCACTACAGGCTGAGCTCTGACTGGTTAGAAAATTGCTCTGCAGAAAAGGATCTGGAAGCCCTAGTAGATGATGAGGTGAATATTAGTCAGAAATGTGCCCTTGCAGCAGAAGCCTACCAAACACGGGGCTGTGTTAGCAGAGGCATAGTCAGCACATCAACAGAAATAGTTCTTCCCCTCTATTCAGCATTTGTGATACCACATGTGGAGTACTATATCTAGCTTTGGGTTCCAAATTAATGAAAAAACATTGTCATTCTGAAGGTAGTTCAGCAAGATGTTTAGCAGACAAGAGCTGTGCAAGGAGGTGCTGAGAGAATCGTGTTTGTTCTTCAGCCTGAAGAAAAAGTAAGCTAAGGGGATGTCTAATTGCGATCTACAACTAACTTACAGAGAAAACAAAGGCAACTCCTCTCAGAAGTACTGAATAAAAAGACAAAAGGCAATAGCTGCACGTTGCAAAAGGGAAACCCCTAACAGAAATAAGGAAAATATCCTTCCCCACAAGGGTGATTCAGTGCTGGGACACGTGCTGAGAGAGACTGGGGAATTTCCATCCCTGAAAATACTCAAAATTTGACTGGACAAGGCTCTGAGCAACCTGATATTGCTTTGAAGTTGGTCCTGTTTTGAACAGCAACTTCGATGAAACCTCTAGAGATTCCTTCCCACCTAGTTTATTTCATGATTCCATGCTAAACAGAAACTAAACGGAGAATGATCAGCAAAGCATAAGGTCCACATGCAATATACATCCATGTATGTCCTGATCAGAGCCTCCCTCCAGAATATCATCAACCAGTCCCGCCTAGATAGGAGATGCATCCCATGCTCTTCATCCTGCAACCACCCCTAAATGGTGAGCCTACTGGGAAGCCAACAGGAATTTTCCATGCAGAGCATCCTTAGGATGAAGCAATGCATTCCTGGTTGGGACTCTCTCAAACACAAAGAGGAGAGATGCTGTGCATCTCTTTTTCAAGCCAGAATACAATCTGACACATTAACCTAAAAAGGTGCCAGCAGGAGATACACGGTGATAGCCTACAATTACCGCTTCGACTAAGCTGTCAGATTTACAAGAGATACTCGTATTCAGAGTAAGGATGAATCAAGAAACAAATCTAGAACTCCAAGATGACAGCAATACAGGCTGAGGAGAAGTCCCTATGTATCAGTTGAGCACACCGAGTTGTCAGATTAGACTGAGCATTCAACAGGCCATGGTAAGAGTCTGTCCCAGCAATAAATCTGATCTTGAGGGCAGCTTTATGATGTTCTCAAAAGAAGCAGTGGAAGAACACTCAGATAGCAACAGGAAAGGCCATACATACTTGCTAAGTAGGAACATATAGTAAGCAAAACACAGTCTGAAGGAGAAATATGTGAATACAAATTAGAGCATTTTCCGGTACACAGAGGCCAGTGACTGAGCACAGGCAAGTTCAGTTTATTATGTCCTTCAAATCTACTAGTCTTTGCCTAAGTTGTACTTGTTTCTACTACTGTATTTACAATACATCCCACCGTCAAAAAGTTTCATACATTCTACAGAACCTTAAATCAGTATGATCTTGAAGCATATGAAGCTCAATTAGGAAATGCTACACATACCTCTGCTGTATAGGACTCCTCCTATTGCTACAACTGGAATTAAGACAACAAACGCAATAAGAACACCTCTGCTTCTTTTCTCATAGAGGTCTCCTTTAAAAAAATAAAATAAATAACGATTGGTTAGTTAAAAAGCAACTGTGTGATACGCTACTTCAGTAAAAATATAACCCTGAGTATGCTTTATAGCTATTTGTTTTTAAACAAGTAACCTCAATAAATGAATGCACCAAAGCTAATAACTTTCGCTTAGGTTAGTTGCAAAACCCTAAGGCAGCTCCAGGAAAGTTACATGGTAAGTACCTTAGTTCAGTGAAGGCCTATCACCGCTTAAAGGTGATGGCTATTCCATTTTTCAGCCTATGAAAGGCCAAGACAGATCTCAGCCAAATGAAATTTCAGCAAATACCTTGCATTGGGTTTGTATGGCAAGGCTTTGGTAGGGGGAAGGCTGCGAGGGTGGCTTCTTTGAGAAGATGCCAGAAGCCGCCTCCATGTCAAAAAGAGCTAGTGCTAGCTGGCTCCAAAATGGACCCGCTGCTGGCAAAAGGTGAGCCCATCAGTAACAGTGGAAGCACCTCTAGTGATAAAATATTTGAGTAAAGGTAAAAACTGCTGTGTAACAGCAGCTCAGAGAGAGGAGTGAAAAATGACAAAACTCTGCAGACACCAAAGCCAGTGAAGAAGGACAGGGAGAAGGTGCTCCAGGCACCGCAGCCCATGGAGGTTAACAGTGGAGCAGATATCCACCTGCAGCCCATGGAGAACCCCACGCTGGAGCAGGTGGATGCCCAATGGCAGCTGTGACCCCATGGGAAGCCCATGCTGGAGCAGGTTCTTGAAGGAACCTGTGACTCCGGATATCCACCTGCAGCCCATGGAGAACCCCACGCTGGAGCAGGTGGATGCCCAATGGCAGCTGTGACCCCATGGGAAGCCCATGCTGGAGCAGGTTCTTGAAGGAACCTGTGACTCCGTGGAGAGAGGAGTCCATGCTGGAGCAGGTTTTCTGGCAGGACCTGTGACCTCATGGGTGACCCACGCTGGAACAGACTACTCCTGAAGCACTGCACCCTATGGAAAGGACCCATGTTGGTGCAGCTCTTGAATAACTGCAGCCCATGGGAAGGACCCACACTGGAGCAGGGAAAGAGTGTGAGGAGTTCATCATTGTGTCCGCAGAGAAAACATGTGATGAACTGACAACACCACCCATTTTCCCATCCCCCTGTGCTGCTCAGGAGGAGCAGGTAGAGAAACTGGGAGTGAAGTTGAGTCTAGGCAGAAGTAGGAAGGGAAGGGGGAGAAGGTGGGAAGGTGTTTAGACTTGTTCTTGGTTTTCACTATCCTACTCTGATTTTGATTGGCAATGAATTAAATTTATTTTCCCCAGGTGGAGTCTGTTTATCCTGTGATGGTAATTGCTGAGTGATTTCCCTGTCCTTATCTCAACCCATGATGCTTCTGTGGTATCTTGTCCACCCCGTCCCCCTGCTCCCAATCATGTTGAGGAGGAGGAGTGATAGAGAGCTTGACAGGCACGTGGTCAAGGTCAACTCACCACACACCTCCTTTCTAACAAGTCTCTAACACAATTCCAGTGAAGAAGGAAGAATTCTATACTGGTAAGCAATGAAAATTACTTTTGCACAGAAGTAGGAAATTCGGTCAGTTAGAGACTGCCTTACACACCCTACAAACCAGATGGTTCCAAACATGTTCTCATTTTATGTTTAAAAAAAAAAAAAAAAAAAAAAAGGAAGGGGGCAAGCCTCAAGCTGAGGCGGTCCCAAAGCAATAAACAACAGCATGAAAACTCTTTTCTCCTATTTATATCTGTCTTTGAAGGATGCTTATTGAATCGTGCACATAACTTCTTTCTGGCGTCTAAGATATTTTATCTAATGGCTGCTAGATGACTTACTTGAAATGACTGAACAGTTTCATTCCAGTTCATGGAAAGCAGTACAAAGATCACAATAATCATTAGCATTCATTACACAACATCAGAAGGTTCAGAAAAGATCTAAGTGTGTCTCCCTCTTTATTATTACTCATTTCAAGCCACAGCTGAAGGCTTTATTCTGCTGAGATCCATGCAAAAAAGTATCTTTCCAGGGGGATCAAGCTGTCAACCTCATACCTTTTAACAACATTAAACACACTTTTAGCAGACAAATAACTTCTGATGCTTTTTACTCTTTAAATTCAACTTCCTGAGAAGTCAGTAGAAATCTTACTAGGTCCATACTGCTTCCCAACCTAGCCCCTCAGAGTTGCATATACAACCAGACCCATTCATTACCTTTTTCATCTGGAAAGCACTCAGTTAATGAGATTTCAGAGCTTTTTTCTGTTTGAGAGAATTCAATGAAACATGTAGCTTTCTCAGAAGCATCAACATTCTTAGGGACAGAAACTTCTTGGGTCTGAGGAGTGCCTGGTAAGCTACTGAACTTCCAAGTGTATTTCAGAGGCTTCTGGAAATTTGCTGTACATTTTAACACAAGATCATCACCACTGATGTTGCAACTTATTTCAGGTTCTGAAGGGGGAGCTGAAAGGAGAGAAAACATTCTGTATTACTTTGGTTATAAACTGCATAGGACAAAGGCTGGGGCAACAAAAACAGCAGGAGAGCTGCATAGATGAAAGCGTGTGTGTAAGGCATGTGCGCACGTACACACCTTGTGCATGAGAGAGAAATGTATTTCTAGAAGTGGCCCTGTCTGTGGTTCTTCAGGGACTAGTCTGAGACTCCCAATGGTTCACTGTCAATAGGATTAATATACACACTGTCAAATAGATTTCCCAAAGAGTACTAGTGAGGCTGCGCAGATCTGCACAGGATGATGCCACAGATATTCAAGCACTTTTAATATGCCTGCAGGAGCATCTTCAGTAGACACATAACGCCTAGGATAACTTGGTCAGCTTGCCCAAAGAGCTTAGCTATCTACCTGAAAGTACACAGCATGCCATCTACACATATTCTAGAAGTCATTCCAAGGTGAGTAATGATGGGCACACAAATTAGATGTCACCTTTGAAAAATTATTTAAAGTGCCTTTACAATAAACACCTTAAAAATAAAGCCAAAGAACACCCTCCCCCCTTTCTGTTTGCTTCCCTGACAAATAAACAATCTTTTTTTCTAACTTTCTTAAAGCTAACAAAGTGGTGCAAATTCATTATGCAGTTCTTCCACTACTTACCTAATACAGCAAGTATGAACTCTAAGTTCCAATCTTTATTCACAGAATCCATGTATCTTAACACATACGTGCCAGCATCATTGTTCTCCAAGTTAAATATGGTCAAGCGCCCATTATCCTTGTTAAGCAAGCCTCTGTTATAGAAAGAAGGAAAATATGTTGGGTTGGGTTGCCCTTCCCATTCAGCCACTTTATTCTTGTTTTTTGTCCACAGAATTTCCACCGGCTTTTGGTCTATTTTTACAGGAAAAGTAAAATTTTCTCCAACGATGCCAAAAACGTTCTCACAGTGGACGTGTGCTGCCAGGGAAGAAAAAGAAAAAAAAGTTACTTTAACAATTGTTTTAATAACTATTGCTTGACTGATTCTGTATGCACAATTGGATACATTCAGATTTAGGTTAGAAGCACATCACAATGTTGCCAAGTAAGGCATGTGTCAATAAAGAATTTCCCAAACCCAGCCTGTCTGCACAATCACATCACAGGCACCGCAAAGAGATCCAGTTTCCACATTCTGGTCCTGGCAGAATCATTGTCCTGATCTTCTTCCTTATCCTAAGCTCCTCTATCCTCTTTACTTTCCCTCTGTTCACTTGAATTAGGCCTCCTGCCTGTGGTCTGATAAAAACATGAAATGAGATTTTGCTGGTGACAGCGATTCTCTCAGAATCTTGTTGCAGAATGCCCAGACTGAAGACCCTGCTGAGCAAATAAACTGCAATTTTTCCACTATGAATATTAACGGAGTTAATAGTTTTTTACTAAAAAGCACACTTCTGACACAAAATTGCTACTCAACTCAAAGTGCCTATTCTGAAGACATAGGAATACTATGGATTTCCATTGGAAATGTCACTTAAGCAAGTTTGTTTCACAGCCAATGTATGTGAAATAGCATCCCAACCTCTGCAATCTAGCAGAGCTGCAAGCAAGAAATGGGAGCCATCCAGAAACCTTAACTGCTATCAGCTTTGAATCAATTATGTTCTGCTAAAAAAGGCCAAAACATTGAATATAAATCAACAAACAACAACAGGAAAGAAGAGGAATAAGAGATTTTCCCCAGTTTTTATGAAAAATAGCTACATGCGTGAAAAAAAATAATCTACTGATCTAACAGATGAGATAAAACTCTGCTGTGGGGAAGGGATTCCGTAAACCATTAGCATCTCTGTGTCCCTGCTTCAGTCTTCAACAACCACCTCCTGCTTCTAAATAACTCTGAATAGCTCTAAAAAAATCACAAGACTACTGCCATGGCAGACATGTATGCAGACACAGACAAAAACACGTCAAAACTGAGTTCAAGTTACGCTTGCATTAAGGACTCGATTCCGCTCCACAGTAGCTGGTAACTTTTTACTACTAAGTTGAAGGAAGGGCATGATTAAGATACAAATGAGGTCTCACACTAAGGCAAGACTCCCAATATGCAGCATGGAAAGTTTCCCTTTAAAACGTAATTCTAAATGGTGAAAGAGAAATATTTCAGAAGCCTACTTCTAAAGCTAACTGCTCACAAGTGACAGCTACTTATTTTGGTTTTGATTATTTATTTATTTATATTCCTAAATGGCATCAAGAACCCACCAATTGCTATATCATTTTGTGCTTCCCTTGCTTCTCATGTCATCATCATATGAAAACTTACTACGTTCATAAATCAATGTGGATAATACAGCTTTATCACATCAAAACAAGAAGTCATTTCCCTTCACTGTATATGACTCCAGAAAAGAAGCTATAACCCATCCTGCTCCACATGCTATCTTCTTTCCATAGGAAAGCAGTTGGGAGGTCAGCCAGGCCAGTCATTAGGAAGACTGGCAAAGAACAATACTTGTCAGTATACTAAGTGTCCTGCTCTTCTGCCTGGTGCCACACCGTAGAAACAAACACTTACTCAGACAGGAGACTGGAAGCAAGCAATAGGAAACAAACTTCTGTGCTTGGGTACGGACCTGCACACACAGAAGGTCTTCTCCATGCCTTACTTCTCATGGACTATCAAATTTCTTTGCAATTTACCCATGAAAGTATTTTTCTCAAACCACTACAGTTTCTACTTCTTCTTGTCTGCACGTACACTGTGGCGTTTTCCAGACACAGGAACTGGAAAAGTAAACAGGCTTAATACAGCTCAGCTATCGCTCCCACATCTTTTCAACACAATCCACATGACTTTCTTTATCTTCACATCTCACTTGCTCCTGCTGCTCCAGTATGAGCATCTCTTTCCACCCACTTCTAGTAACAATTTCCAGAAAAATGAAGAACCCAGGAGCTCCAACATTTGTGTTTGGAGACCTTGTGGTCCAAGGCAGGATGCTGGGCAAGATTTAATACTCTTTTGCTTTGATGAAGCTTGCAGTCTTGTTAGACACCTCATAAAGACAATTTTTAGGAGTGCGTTTTCCTCCAGAAGTCACCTCTCACTGCCTAGGGACCTATAGTATTCCCAGCCCAGAGAAAAACTCCCTGCTCTACCCACTGTGAAATTCTACCTCTTGGTAACCTTGGCTCACAGACACAACCAAGTTATGGTGGTTTAACGTCAGCATGAATAAGCCAAACCAAGAGCAAGGTAAGGCAACGCTCTTCTGGGAGGAAAGCAGCCACTTGCTGGGGAGTAAGAACATAAGCAAGGACAGCCACCGCTGCTCTGCCAACCACTAATAACTTCCTAAGCCTGGGTGTTGATGCCTGTGAATTCTCCGTGTCTTTGCTCTCTTTCAGTCATAAGAGCCAGGCTGGAGTTATGAGGGTAAGATTGCTTCTTCTTTCTTCCAGAAATGAGACTGGAGGAAAGCAGAGCTAAAAAACACATTTTCCCTCCACACCTTCTACTTGGCCTGTGGGAGCGCTGTCCCCTTCAGGGCACTTTTTTCTTGCTGGCTGGTGAAGCAAAGATTTGGCAGCAAGGAACTGATGAGTCCCTGCCCAAGAACACTCAGGGCTCCCAGAAGCCAGGATGACCGTCATCTCCTGTCTAAAACCAGGAATCAGACACTTCCCTGCTTCACTACTCTAGTGAACACATAAAGAAACCTCCCACTCAATGCTGTCAGCTTCCTTTTTTCAATGAAATTATACATCATCCAGAAATGTTGCATAAGGTCTCCACCATGTGAAGCTCATCCTTGAGCTTCTACAGAAAGTATGCGTCATCACATATTCTCTAAATTTCTAAGGAACCCTTCCTCCTTTTCTCTACTTCATTCTATACAGAGATATATTTCCCATTCCACAGCAGTTACTTCTCTCTCTTTGTTTACAGCAGAGAAGTTAACAGCTAAACACTCTCATACTCTATTTTTGGAAGGCTAGAAATAACAATGATGTTCCTCTGCTATCTCCCTCTCACCTGTCTGTACCCTATTATTCCAAGATAAAGTTCACACAACAAAGTAGTGCTGTGCTAAGGCCTCCAGTAGCCTCCAGAGAAACTGTCATACTACCTGCCTCAGTATCTCCTCCAGATCCACTCCAAATAACTTCTTATGCCACGCCTATGCATTCTACCCTTCCAAACAAATCACATAGTGAAAGTGTTAGTGACAAAGAGAAGCTAACATTGCACAAGCAAATCCTCTTCTGCAAACCCACCACCTCATCTTGTCTACATCATCTTCTCTTCCCACTTCTCTGGCAGCCAGATACCTTTGCCTACACAGTTTGCTCATCCTACCCAGGACTCAGAGCTGTGGTCAAGCATCCTGCCCACCACACATCAGCTGAACCACAACAGCAGCGTAAGTGCACGGATTTGGTCTGCAGCAAGCAGTAAACCACGAATTTTAGCCTGCTTTGCAGTATATGAAAACATTTCAGATCTTCTCATGTTTGACATGAGTGACTCAGCTAATGCACACAACCTGGAATTCCATGCTAACTGAATCATGTCTCTGAATGCAGAGCTCAGATGGCAGCCGACGCAAGACAAGGCATAGTCCTTCACTCACAGTGTAACAGGTCACTCAAATTTTAATACTCACCTGAATAATTCTGACTTTTTAAGCATTTAAAGAGGCCAAAGGTATCCACATGCTCTGTTCAGATTGGGTAAGTGGAATTTAATAGTCCATTTATCAGCAATAAATGTTTCATTACTATATTTCACTGAGTTTCACTGAATTTTTAGAGTTGGAAGGGACCATAGAGATCATCTAGTCCAACTCCCCTGCTGAAGCAGCATTGCCTAGAGCTTGTCAGAGCATGTTACCCAGGTCTGCATCCAGGCGGGTCTTGAAAATCTCCAAAGAAGGGGACTCCACAACCTCCCTGGGCAGCCTGTTCCAGGGTTCTGGCACCCTCACTGTGAAGAAGTTTTTTCTCATATTTGAGTGGAACCTCTTATGTTCCAACTTGTGCCCCTTGCCCCTCATCCTCTCACTGGGAACCACTGAAAAGAGTCTGGCTCCCTGATTGGAGCTCACATAAGTCTTAGTTATTCTTGAGAACTTTTGTAATCTAATTCCCTTTTTATTTTGAATGCTATGATTAGGTCTCAAGTACCTATTCAAAATGCACATCTGCTGAAACTGGGTGGCAAAGTCCTTAATGATTAGCATATAGCAAGGAACTGTCTGCCTCACAAGTTGGGCTTTTTAAATAGTGGATTTTTGGTCTATTTTTTTAAAGTTCCCAACTACCCCTTTTTTAGGCTTTTCTTTTTTTTTTTTTTTTTTTTTTTATTTTTGTATTTCCCCCCGCGATCCTTTAATAAAAGCATCCAATGAAAGTGGTTTTTTTGTTTTTTTTTTTAAAGTTCCCCACTCCCCCTTTTTTAGGTTTTTTTTTTTTTTTTTTTTTTTTTTGTGAATCTGTGAATTCCCCCAGGAGCTGTAAGCAGCAAAGAGTTACGTTCCCTCAGAACCATCAGTTGCCAAGAACCCTGAAATAAAAGTTCCATCCAGAAGGACTATCAGAACATTCACCCTTAGTCTTCCTCATTCTCCCCCAGGCCACAAACATGACCTGCTTCCCAGGTAGGGGAAGCTACCTACTGCTACCTACTTCAGTAAGAAAGTTCTTAGACCCATGGTATAAAAGCAGGGGCAAAGGCTACAGCCAGGAAAGAGAGAATGTAGATGACACTAAGCTGTAGCAGTGTCCCAGGTTGTTCCACGAGAAAATCAGATTCACGCAGAAATGACTGCAGATCTGACACACAACATCAAAAGCAGAGTTTTTCACTTGCACACTGCAGCAAGTTCACATGGGTATGTGTTGCTACTCCTGGACAATACGGGCCTGCCTGCATCTAGAAAGCTCTACATCGGAGCAAAGGCAGGACC